GAGCTGTGGCGCGGAGAGCTCGCCCGACTCTGCCCAGATCGCGGGGATTTGTGTTTCAGCCCTGCAGCCCTCTCCTGCGTTTGCTAGCTCACCCAAGGTGTCAGGACTTGTGCTTTTGCCCTGCAGCCCCCTCCTCCGTTTGCTAGATCACCCAAGGTGTCAGGACTTGTGCTTTACCCCTGCAGCCCCCTCCTCCGTTTGCTAGATCACCCAAGGTGTCAGGACTTGTGCTTTACCCCTGCAGCCCTCTCCTGCGTTTGCTAGCTCACCCAATGTGTCAGGACTTGTGCTTTTGCCCTGCAGCCCCCTCTTCCGTTTGCTAGATCACCCAAGGTGTCAGGACTTGTGCTTTACCCCTGCAGCCCCCTCCTCCGTTTGCTAGATCTCCCAGGTGTCAGGACTTGTGCTTTACCGCCGCAGCCCCCTCTTCCGTTTGCTAGGTCACCCAAGGTGTCAGTACTTGTGCTTTCGCCCTGCAGCCCCCTCTTCCGTTTGCTAGGTCACCCAGGGCACCGCGTTTGCAGGCTCCAGCAGCCTCTTGCTTGGTTAGGGTAGGGTTGGTTTTTGGTTTGGTTTGGTTTTTAGTTTTTCGAGACAGGGTTTCCATGTGGCTTTGGAGGCTGTCCTGGAACTAGCTCTTGTAGACCAGGCTGGTCTCGAACTCAAAGAGCTCCTCCTGCCTCTGCCTCCCTAGTGCTGGGATTCAAACCCGCCTGGCTAGGGTAGGGTTTGAAAGTAAGTCCTCAGGCTGGGGAGTTTACGGTTGTGGAATGTAGAAAGTTTCTAAGGACTTGCTAGCATGCTTCTACAAACGAAGCCCTTGAGTTTATTAACACAGCAGAGGGCAGGAATCACTTAAAGGTTATTAGCAATTTTGGTGAAGACGTTGGATATTTATTTAGCCCCTTGGTTAACATTGTATTTAGAATCTGAGGTCTATGTGTAGTAATGGTAAACGACATTCTGTCATCTGTTTCTTTTTATCTGTGTGCAGCCTTGTCTGTATTCCAAAATGTTTTTCATCCAACGTGGGTAATTATCCAAAGAAACCTATGACTTCATACCTTCGATTTTCTACAGAACAGCTACCCAGATTTAAAGCTAAACACCCAGGTAAGAAGTTTGAGGCTTATGCTCTTTTCTACTGTGATTTGGGTTGCTTTATTTGCTTTTCCCAACTGCTGTCTTGATTTGCACTGCCAGAGCATCTAGCAACAGTTACTTTCTTTGATGGTGTGCATAACATTTTATAACTAATAGATATTTTTTAAATATAAACAACGGTGTTTTTAAAATAACCTGTAGAGTGAAGAGCACTCTAGAGAAAAAAAAAATGATAAAGTTCAGGCCTACTTGCCCTGGGTTTAGAAGACACTAACAAATTGCTTAGTTACTTCTGTGATAGGACATTTGTTTGTCAAGTGCAATAAAATAACTTACTGGGAAGTAGTCCATAAAATACAATGGTCTATACAAATCACCTCTAACATCTTTGGAAATTATCTGAGTTCTTAAAAAAAAAAAATAGGGAAGATTTCCATATAGCTTAAGAAAGGGCTGTAGGGGCTTCACTTGTATATACAGTGTAAAGATAATAGCTGAATTAATAAGTTGGTGGTTGCTTATGATTTCCAAAGCCTGCTTACTTAGAGTACTCACAAGGCAGTAGTGAAAATCATATGAGCTGTAATTCAAGTACTTCGTTGTAGATAAGGGACAGACAGTAAACTTTTAAAAGACATACTTTTACCCATACCCCTGTCTTCTAAAATGTAAAACTTGGCACTAACACATGGTTGATAAAACAGTTGTATCCCCATTAAGACAAAGGAAATAGAGAATAGTATTTCTGTAATTGAAATGTAAGATGGTATTGTTCCATCAAGATTAACCTGTAGTTTATTTGGGTTTTACTAACAATTCCTGAAAGACTTGACAGAATGTTTCAATTGAAATACAGAAGTAAGTCCAGGCAGTGGTGGTATAAGCCTTTTAATCCCAGTACTCAGAAGGCAGAGGCAGGTGCATCTCTGTGAGTTCAAGGCCAGCCTGATCTACAAAGTGAGTTCCAGGACAGCCAGGACTGTTACATAGAGAAACCCTGTCTTGAAAAACTGAAAAAGAAAAGAAAAACAAGTAAGAAATGAGCAGCAGTTGATTACCCAGCTGCTTGCACTAGCAGTAGCTTTCCAAGGACTGCTTTTGGTAGTCTGATACATACTTCTTAAAGCTACGTAACAGTTTTCTAGCATTTCTGGATACAGTTATTTCTATAGGGTGTAGAGATGTATCTAAGCAGCTTGGTTTTAGAGCCATTAGGCTATTTACAAACTTTGTGGAAGTTTTACCCCCAATAAATAAAATCCAGAAATCCATTTTCATTCTGTTCTCATTTGTAGATGCAAAACTTTCGGACCTCGTTAGAAAAATTGCAGCCGCATGGAGGGAACTACCGGAAGAAGAAAAAAAGGTAAGCATTTATGTTTTCAGTTTTGCTGACCAGTTGTTCTATAGTTAGGGATGCATGTTTTTTCAAAGGTAGCTCATATCTTTTACTTTTGGATGGGGTCTCTACTTGTGCGCATAGCTTGCCAACTGAACGAGACTGGCTGACCAGCAAGCTCCAGGGTTCCACCTGTCTCTGCCCCCACCCCCTCCCCAGCATGAGGGTTATAGATTCTGGCATGGCAAGCACTTTACCAACTGAGTTATCTTCTTAGTTTCCTCTCTCTTCCCTTAACAGTCATGTCCACACAGGTGTTCTATACCTTTTGCTTCATATATGATGTTGATATGAATGGATGGAGTACAGGTAAATGGTTGACAATAGTCAGGAAGAATGGTCAGGTGCTGTCCTTACATCTTGATTAGCAACATGTCAGTAATACATCTTAGAGCACATTATCACCTTGTCCACCCTGGCAAATGTGATGCATTGAGCTTGCCAGCACCAGTTCATTGATTTTTTTTTTGTTTGTTTGTTTTTTGTTTTTTTTTTAATGTACAGGTATATGAAGCTGATTTTAGGGCAGACTGGAAAGCATACAAAGAAGCTCTGAGCAAGTTTAAAGACCAGCTAACTCCAGCTCAGTTGGTATCTTTTGAGAAAGAAGTCAGGCAAAAACGTTTAAAAAAGAAAGCCTCAGTAAAAAAGAGAGTAAGTATCATTGAAATGCTGTTTTCCTGTGGAAAAGAATCAGTGTAACCAAAAATCTAGGTAGTTTTCTCTTTCGTCCATAACAGTAGATATGACATAGCAGAATACTACTGGGCACCCCAGTTAAACAAAAGCAGGATATTATATCTCACATGGTGTGTCTGGGAAGTCCTGGTTGCAACTGTCAATAGGACTGGCCTGAAGCTTGAGTTGTGAAGCAAGCAAATGATGAACAGCTAGAATCTTAACTCCAAGTCTTCCTTCTAGAGTAACTTTACATTTGAAGTCTGTAGAGGATCATGAGTTTGAAGGTTACTGAGTATTCTCAATTACTTCATTAGCACATCAGAGGAAAATGCCAGTTATTCAAGTAAGGAGTTCCCTCATGGTAGGATTCTATTTCCTTTCAAAGAAATAACTATTAAAATATCTATCTGCATAGTTAAATTTTTTGTTTCTTGTGTTTGTTCACGTAAAGGTCACTGTTTCAAAGTCAGGCTACATTTTTCTTTATTTAGGGAATGCTCTTACAGTTTCTATAATAAAACCCATGTAGATAAGACCTTAGACATTTAATAACACCCTTGGTCTCCTAACACCTCCCAGACACCCCCCCCCCAATTTTTTTTGTGTATGTGTATGCAATGAGGGGAGGGATGCTGGCTTAGAGGTCAGAGGACAACTTTGTGGGGTTGATTCTGTCCTTTCACCTTTACAGGGGTTGTGCAATGCACACCTTTATCTGCTGTGCCATCTCACCCACCCCAGGATTTTAAAAATGCAAATGCTGCTGCTCTCCAAATAGAAAATAGAGTGCAGCATCTATCCCAGTGAACATGGGACCAAGTGCAAGAGATGCCATGTGCCCATTCCATAGTTCCTCTTCTTGGCACTGTTAAGAATTGAATACATCTTTTGAATTTTAAATGGTACGAGCCATTAAGAAGAGGAGTGAGATAAGGTTACTAAATGGTCTTGTGTTTTTGAGGTTCAGAGAAGGCATGTTTTAATTGGGCCATTTTTTATGTGTCCTGCAAGGAGAAAACTGCGATTAAATAAATGATTTAAGAAAATTTTATATTCAGTTCATGGAAGCTACAAAAATAACATGTAAAGGAAATACCTTTCTTTATGGAGAAATGGCCCATAATATTACAGTTTTTAAGACTTTATGCTTAAAAGTTTTTGATTTCTAAGATGTAACAAACATACTTTATATACAGATCACACTATTTCCTGGTGTGGTGCAGGCTGTCCTAACATTTATTTGGGGAACACTCACACAATGAAGGTAAGTAGCCACCGAGGTCCTCTGCCCCTGGTGGTGCAGGATTCACCATGCAGGATGCTCAGACCACAACCTGAGAGAGAGAGAGTGAGGCCCCTCCTCTTCCTTAGAAGGAAGCCACATCTAAGCCTAGTACTTCAAATCTGTTGGTGGTGGAACAAGATGCCACTGCATGTCAGCACTTGGGAGGCAGAGGAAAGAGGCTGGCCACAAGGTGGCAGCCAGCAAGTCCGTGTCTCAAGAATACAAAATTGTAATGTTCATTAGGATTGTTATGCATTGTAGTGAATTGTTTCTTTAGATAGTAGGCTTCCTGGTGACTGTATCTGACGCTTTTGTTTTTTTTATTCAGGAATTAATGTTGCTTGGAAAACCAAAAAGACCTCGATCAGCATACAACATTTACGTATCTGAAAGCTTCCAAGAGACTAAAGATGGATCTGCTCCGGTAAGCAGAGCTTCGGGTTGTTCAATTGTTCGTAGGCTTGTTTAAAATCATGTAGGAAGTTGTATGTCTAGCATGTCACATGATGAAGAGAAATAGAAAATTTGGAAATTTGTTATGTCTCTGAACCAAAAAAATCCTTGGAGCTGAGTGTATGTAGTTCTCTGGCAGACCAGCTGGGTCTTTAGGACAAAGCCTTGGCTTTGCTTCCCAGCACTGGAAAAGACAGAAGTTCTTGTTCTTTTTTTTGGGGGGGGGGGTCTTTTTTATTTCTTTATTTATTTTGTTTTGTCTTTTCAAGACAGGATTTCTGTTTAACAGCCTTGGCTGTCCTGGAACTCACTCTGTAGACCAGGCTGGCTTGGAACTCAAGAGATCCACCTGCCTCTGCCTCCTGGGGGGCTAGGGTTCACACTGTGAAATCTTGACTGTACACTTGCACAAGCTTTAGTGCCAAGAGTGCAAGGGTTGGTGGTAGTGTTAACAGCCACGGCCATGCAGAAGGTCTCCTTGGGATTTTCGTCTTTGTGACTCAATGATAATGAGATGAAGGCTTACCTTTTTAATTGATAGAGTTTCACTTTATTGATCGTTAGAATTTCCTCAGTTACTGATTAACTTTGGGTTTAGGTACCTTTGTGTTTTTGTTTTTAAAGCTGTGCTGGTGAGAACTTTGAATACATCCACTTTGGCATGCAGCCGTACCCTAGAAATATCTTACAAGCCTGAATGACTGGGTTTTGTCCTTGGTAATAGAAATATAACTTGATTATAATTTTACTCATTTAAAAATACTGGCTAAGTTGTGAGGGTGGCTCATGTTTGTGCTCCCAGTCCTTGAGAGACCAGTGCTGTCTAGATCACAGAGAATTCTAGGCCAGCTTGAGCCACATGAGAACATCTACAAGCACCGCAGCCTTCTAATGCCCATACACACAGGCACACACACACATGTATACACAGGGTACACAGACACATAGGTACATACACATACAGATGCACATAGACAACAAACACATACATATACACATGCATGAGGGGCTGGTCAGCAGTTGAATCCCCAGTATATTTACAAAGGAAACATTATTCAAATTTTCCAGCTTCATTTACGATCTTGTTTGCACTTAAGATCATTTTTTAATCCGAGTTTGTCATTGCTCCTTGAGTGCATCTAGTATGACGTCAGTTTCTGCTCTCTTCTGGATTGGCAGCTGCCATCTGTCCAGTGTACACCAGCATGCCAAGCTTCTGCATTAGTACCCCTCTGCCTTTTCTTGTTTTTCTTGATTTACTCTCATTCTGGCTTTTCCTTAATTAAGGATATGTGTGAAATTAGTATTTCAGGTTTTATATGTCTAAAAACTGCCTGTTTGTCCTGTGTTTTTAGATTGGCCATAGAGTTCTGGATTGGGAAAAAATGTTTCTTCAGCATTTCAAAATTACCACTGCTTTTCTAGCCACTATGATTTTTGAGAATATAACCAGCAGTTGAGTAGTTAAGGCAGGAAGATCGAGAGTATGAGGCCACCCAGGCTGTCCCCCAAAAAAATACAGATTAAAAAAATCAAATCTGAGCCAGGTGGTAGTAGCACGTGCCTTTAATCCCAGCACTGGGGAGGCAGAGATCCACTAGGTGGATCTCTTTGAGATTAAGGCCAGCCTGGTCTACAGATTGAGTTCCTGGACAGCCAGGGCTGTTTCACAGAGAAACCCTGTCTGGGGAGGGGGTAAAAAAATAAAGTCTGGGCTGGTGGGATGGTAAAGGCACCTGCCCTGAGTTTGTTTTCCCCTGACCTGCATGGTGGAAGGAGAGAACTGACTCCTCTAAGTGGTCCTCTGATCTTCACTGTGTACGTACATACATGTGCACACAGAGTAAAATATAATTTTAGAAATGTTTAGATGAAACCAATTTGAGTTTGGTTTTTTGTTGCTTTCTGTTTAGACTCTATATAGCTTATATTTGTATAGACCTTCTGAGTCTGTCTTCTCACTGTCTTGAATTTCTTTCCCATCCCCTAGATACTGTATGTTTCCATGTATTTCCGTTGCTTTTTTGCAAAGTGTCATTGTCCTCAAGTTGCCTATTCTTCACTGTGACTATTTTACTCTCTTGAGAATATGAATGTCCTGGAATCTACCTTGGTGGACATTTAAGCTTCTTTTCACATTCCCCTCTGACAGCCACCTGGTGCTGCCACTGGGACACTGGATTTTGCCTTGTAAATCTGATGGTCTCGGGTTCACCTCACTGCCTATAGGCACTCCAGCCAGTGTCAGTTAATCCAGTTGCCTCCCCAGCCTGTCACTGTCCACATTATGTTGGTGCTGCCCTCTTCTGTTGGTTTTATACCTTAAACTTTTTATTTAGTGAAATTTGGAGGAATGTGCAAAACTCAATGTGCCCCCCCCCCATTACTTTATATAAACAAAGCCTGAGGAATGTAAAGTGGCCTCTTTGCTGTGATGCTGCTCAGGTCAGGTGACCAGCTGAGTAGAATTAAGGAATGCTTGCTTATTCCCAGGATGATTCCTAACACCTCGGCACAAAGTTTAGAATAAAACACTACAGGGAAGAAAAAAACCTGTGAAGTTATTTTATGACAGAATGGAGATTTATACCTGAATACAAACATTTTTAATCAAAAGAGAGAACTAGAGAGAACTCATTTCATACTCATGTTATATTTCAAAATGTAAATGAAAATGTAACAGTCCAACAGAAATAAGTGTCAGTTGACGTTGCTTGTGAACGGCATCTGAATTCTTGGAATGAATGGGGAATGGTCTCCTTTGCTGTCTTCTTAGGTGTGTCCATCTTAACTCTCCATTGTCTTACAGGGAAGACTGAAGACTATAAATGAGGCTTGGAAAAGTCTATCTAGTGATGAAAGGCAGGTGAGTAGTACAGTTTCTGGCTTTATATGCCCGTCAGGGTAGGATTGGCTCATGTAGCGTCACCCAGCAGCTCCAGTGATGGCAGTACTCAGAGACTGCCTTCATTAAGGCCAACTTGGCTTTCTCTCACGAGTGTGTCAGCAAATACAACATGTCTTGTGCCACCTGCCCCTCCTTCTTGCCCCACAAGTCCTTAAACAACCTACCAACCCTTAAAGAACACTTTCCTAAACACTTTCTCTCTCAACCTTTTCTCTCCAAACGTTTTATTTAAAATTATTTCTGTATTCTCCTTTGGTGCATGGAGAATAGTGGTATAATTTCTGTATAGGTGGGAGCATTCCAGAGATTAATTGCTCTTTTCTAATAAAATATTCTAATACTCTTTCTCAGGCATACATTCAGCTTGCTAAAGATGATAGAATTCGTTATGATAACGAAATGAAGTCTTGGGAAGAGCAAATGGCTGAAGTTGGACGAAGTGATCTCATCCGCCGCAATGTGAGACGCTCAGACATCATTGAGGACTAAGATAGAAGATGGAGTTGTCTCTGGGATTAGGCACAAGAAACCAATTAGGTCTCAATGCCTTAAGTTGTCAAATTAGAAAGGATAAGGCTGGTTACATTTGATATTCAGTTCTTTTTTCTGTAGCCAATGGACTTCTGCCCGTTGAATACATTCTGTTTTATTTCAAGCCTGACAGAGGAAGATTCTGCAGAGTTCTGCTTTTTGCTTAAGAACTGGAGATGAGACCGTCCATGCATCTGCATGTAGTGGTGAATGAACCATTCTGTGTTTGATGGAGCTAGATAGACTGTGAAGTGACTTTTACACTTATAACACTTTTACGTGTGGTTTTGTGAAGTTTTTACACTGATGACAATACTGTGGGTATGTGAAGTTTTTACACTGATGACAGTTACATGCAAGTGTGGCCTCTGTGTTCCAGGGCCATAACTGCTTTCACAGCTATGGCAAAGCTATGATGTAACTGTGTACTCAAAGAAGCTTCCAGACTCATTAGATGAAGTGATTCCTAGCCATAAATCATGTGTGGGGTTGATGTTTGTACATATAAGTGATTATTGACATCATAGCAGCTTTTATAGTATGAACAAAGATTTACAAACCTTTCTCATCTTTTTCTTTTTTTCTAAAGCCTAAGAAATTATGTAACAAGTCTATGCATATTGTTTTTATTGCATAGAATAAAAATTCTAATTTTTCAAACATGTTTCTGAGTTATGTAAATTTTAGACGAACTGTGTGGCTAACATTTTTTTTAAGGTAAGGACTTTTTTCCTCCCTGAATTACTTTTTCATGTGAGAATATTCACAGAGCTTGTGTGATCTAAATTTTTAAATGTGAGAAAAGAGGTCTCCAGAGTCAGAGATGTGAGACATTGTCCATGACTGATAAGGGCCTGCGCGGGAGAGCCAGCCGTGGAGCCAGCCAGGTCCAGCCACGACTGATTGCTTTTCAGGGCCTAATCATTAAGTAATGTATTTAGAGTTTAAGTAGGTTTTTAAAAGGAAAATCATGAATGTGAAAATTAATATGATCTTCCGTGTTTGCCAATAGAATTTTATTGGAACATAGCCATATGCGCTCCCAGGTTTGTTGTGCACGGGTGCTCTGCTAGGGACAAGGCAGGAAGCCACAGCGTAGCGTACACATGTGGCCCTTGGCAGATAGTTTGCCACTGTGGTTTGTGGCATGGTGCAGTGTGGCTACTGGGCAAGCAGGGTCAGTTTTCTCAGCCGTGCTTGATGTTCTCATGGAACTGTCATCCTGTCTCAGGGTCATCTTTGGGTCACTGTAAGCGTAACTATTCAACCTCTGTTCTGTTTTAGAGAACAAGTGGTTTGAACCCCACACAACTGAGCAGATCTCAGAGACATGGGGTAACAGAGATTGTGCGCTCAGAGCTCCAGAAGACTCGGGCCTTTCTCTTTGCTTTGACATCTCTGAACTTGACAGCAGGAACAGTGGAACATACGGAGGGGAGATGTGAGATTTATATGTTTGAGCTGGGGGATATAACTGGTAGAAAGCTTGCCTAGAATGTGCAAGGCCTTGGATTCGATTCCTAGCAACCCCCTGATCAATAAATAATAATCAGAATTTTGAAAATAAACTTGAAAATAAAATAATTTCCTCCAGTGGATTGGCATTCAGGCCTGATTTTTCCCTTGGTGAAGTAGATGGCATGGGTTTGGAACTGTGTTTGGAGCCATGTGGGAAGAGGCTGGGTGGGGTGAGCTGTGCGGTCACAGAGTCCTTCCCAAGTGCAATTCCAGGAGAGACTTTCTCCCTGCATTCCCACGGTGTCTGGGAGGGAACTGATTTGTGCTGTCCTTAGAATGGAGGAAACGGTGACTCAGCATTGGCCAAGTGCTTCAGAGCCATTCAGGAGCAGCAGGCCCTACAGTGATGCATGGTGATGTTAGAGTTCCCCAGAGGGAGCTCTAACCGTGGAACCACCTAGCTTCAAATCCTGCCTTCCTAGGCACGGTTCAAGAGCTTGCCGTTTAGTACAGGAAGGGAATGGGAAACGTAAAGGCCTTTTCATGATATGTGGTTGAATATGGTTGTCCTTGTTTGTAAAAGAAGCTCACTGTCAATAGCTTTCCGTGCCCCCCCCTTTTTTTTTTTAAAAAGACAGTCTCTACCTCTGGCTGTCCTGGAACTCCCTCTGTAGACCAGTCTGACCTCAGACTCACGGAGATCCGCCTGCGTCTGCCTCCCAAGTGCTTGGATTAAAGGAGTGTGCCATCACTGCCTGGCTTCTATGCCATGCCTTTCAAAATTCAGTACATGTTGAAGACTGACCTACCACATAGTTGTACACATTAATTTTTTTGTTGCCAAGGATGAGAACTCAACATCAGTAATTAATGGCCATTCATAAAAGC